GGTATCTTTTGTATATCTGTAATTAGTATTTTCCTTATTTCATTAGGGTTTGTATTAGGTCTGGGCTTTGTCCATTAGTATGTCTATATATTGTACATCCTTCATCAGTTCAATACATACAGTTTATTTCAATGTTCCTCTCTTTTCTTATTATTTAATATGGTATCAAGAGCCTAAGGAACCTTGAATTTTTTTTCCGAAACTGTCTCACTGTTAGTTTTCGGTACGTTTTCTTTCGCATTCAAGCCTCTGCTCACGTCAACCACCACCGTCTGGTGGAGTTTTCCGGCGAGCCGCATACCGACGTGCTCGTCTTGGAAGCGCTATCACAACGGCACAGGCCGCACCTCCAACCGACGTCTCACGCGCCTTCAGGCGGCGCGTGGAGCATCCTTTCCGGCTGCGGCTGGTTGCGTTCTCCTCGTCTCACTGTGACGGTTCTAGATCTGGTCTTGTTTTTGTGTTTGGACCTCTTTTTGCGTTGACGCATAGATCCCTCTTCTACCGGTTAGTTGTGTGATCTGTCTTTTTGATTATTTTTCTAATCTTGATTATGGACTCTCCTGTCTCCAATGTTTCTGAGTCTCCGGCTAGCCAAAAGTCGGAGTCTACTATTTTTTCAAATTATATCCTTGCTCCGTTGAGTATGGATAAATTGGATGGATCCAACTATGATACTTGGTCATCCGATCTGCGACTTTGGTTGGAAGGGCAGAATTATACATCCCATCTCACCACTAAGGCTGAATCTGTGGCGACCAATAAGCGCACACGATGGAAGATGATTGATGTTCAGTTGTGTAGTCTCATTAAAGCTACTCTTCATCCGTCAATTAAGCAGATTTTTCGACCTACTAATACCTATGAAGCTATTTGGAGTCAGGCAAAAGCATTGTACACCAATGATACACAGAGACTCTATGGTGTGTGTCAGAAATTGATGACTACCTTTGCTCCTCGGAACTTCAATTGTCCTATGACTGAATATTTAGGGAAAGCTCAGAGTTCACTTCATGAACTTAACGAACTTCTGCCTCTCACTGGTGATGTTACTAAGGAACAGGAACAGCGTAATACACTCTTTATGTTGTTCATTTTATATGGTTTGTATGACCATTTGTCTGCCAATCGAGATCAAATTTTGGGATCTGCTACAGTTCCTACACTGGATTCCGTGATGTCTACCTTGCTTAGGATTCCATCTAAACCCTCTACGTCACCAGCACCTCCTATGATGCATATACCTGTAGTGGATTCTGTTGACTCTTCTGCTCTTGCTGCTCAAGGTTATGGTCGTGGACGTAAATTATCTAAAGGAAAGCTATTATGCACTCATTGTCATCAGACCAATCATATTGTTGACCGCTGTTGGAAGCTTCATGGAAAGCCACCTCAACCTCCTCGGAATGCTCATCAACATGAGCATTCTGGTGCACAACATCCAGCTGCTCTTCTTAACGAATTTGTGACTTGGTGGTCTGAGAAGCAAACATCAGGTCCTACTGCATCCATTGCTCCCACTGGTAATTCTTTTGCTGGAATCTCTCAGTTGCACTCTATAGGCCCTTGGACTCTTGCTTCTGGGGTTCTGATCACATTTCTGGTAATAAGTCTTTATTCACTTCCCTTTGTACTACTGGTTCTTTTCCCGCTATTACTATGGCCAATGGGTTTCTAGTCCAATCACGGGGGATTGACACGGTTCTTCTTTTACCTAATTTATCTCTGGATCATGTTCTCTATGTTCCAGATTCTCCTTTTAACTTACTTTCTGTTAGTCGTTTGACAAAATCCATTGATTGTGTTGTTTCTTTTACTAAAACCTCTGTCATCTTCCAGGATCGGAGTTCGGGGAAGGAGATTACCAAAGGATGTGAGTCTCAGGTCCTCTATCAACTATTTCCCTCTTCTTCAGCCTGCTCCACTGTGGATTCTCCTTTTACTATACATGCTCGTCTGGGCCATCCTAGTCTTGCAAAGCTTCAGAAGATGGTTTCACATTTATCTTCTCTTTCCAATTTAAATTATGAGTCATGTCAGTTTGGGAAACATACTCATAGTACGTTCCCAAGTCGTCTTAGTCTTCAAGCTTTTTCTCCTTTTTCTGTGGTCCACTCTGATATTTGGAGACCAAGTCATCATTCTTCTACTTTAGGGTTTAAGTATTTTGTTACTTTTATTGATGATTATTCCAGATGTACTTAGTTATTTTTAATGAAAAATCGGTATGAGTTGTTTTCTGTTTTTCAGTTATTATACAATGAAATAAAAACTCAATTTGGTATTCATGTTCGTACTTTTCGTAGTGATAATGCATGTGAGTACTTATCTCATCAATTTCAACAATTCTTTTCATCTCATGGCATTCTTCATCAAACATCTTGCCCTCATACACCCCAACAAAATGGTGTAGCCGAGCGCAAGAATCGCCATCTGGTTGAAACCACTCGTGCTTTGTTAATTGATGGCAATGTTCCATACACATTCTGCATGCTATCTCATTAATCGCATGCCATCATCTGTTCTCAATCATAAGGTACCTCACTCTATTTTATTTCCCCATCAAGTTTTATATCCTTTGACTCCATATGTGTTTGGTTCTACGTGTTTTGTTCATCACCTTGGTTCAGGTTTGGATAAATTAGCTCCCAAGTCTCATAAATGCGTATTTCTGGGTTATCCTCGGTCTCAAAAGGGTTATCGTTGCTACTCTCCAACTTTACGTCGATACTTTATCTCGGCAGATGTATCCTTTTTTGAATCAGTTCCCTTTTTTGGATCCTCTACTACTCCTGTGGACACTGATTCTGTACAGTCATCCTTTCCAGTTGACTCTTTTGAATACCTTTTGTCTTTACCAGTCCATGTTCTTGACTCTTCTTCTATCACCTCTTCTCCTGATGAGATCGAACATAGTTCGTCAAATGTTTTTGTGGACTCACATTCAACTGCATCTCCTCCCTCAGCTTAAGTCCCATCTTCGGATACTGACCTTCCCATTGCTCTTCGTAAGGGTACTCGTGATACTCGCCCTCCAGCCAGGTATACAGTCAATATTAGTTACCATCGTCTTTCTCCATCATATTTTGCATGTTTTTCCTCTTTGTCCTCTGTATCTGTTCCTAAGACTACATGTGATGCACTTTCATATTCGGGATGGAGACAAGCTAAGATTGATGAAATGAGTGCTCTTCATCATAATGGAACTTGGGATCTGGTTCCTCTTCCATCTGGAAAATCTGTGGTTGGTTGCAGATGGATTTATGCTGTTAAGGTTGGACCTGATGGTCAAGTGGATCGTCTTAAAGCTCGCTTGGTGGCGAAGGGTTTCACTCAAGTGTTTGGATTGGATTTTATTGATACTTTTTCTCTTGTGGCGAAAATGTCTACTGTTCGCCTCTTTATTGCCATGACTGCTATTCGCCAACCTCTCTACCAACTTGATATCAAGAATGCTTTTCTCCATGGTGATCTTGAGGAGGAAATTTATATGGAGCAACCTCTTGGATTTGTTGCTCAGGGGGAGTCAGGTCTTGTTTGTCGTCTTCGTAAGTCTCTATATGGCCTCAAGCAATCTCCAAGAGCTTGTTTGGTAAATTTAGCAGTGTTGTTCAACAATTTGGCATGACTCGGAGTGAAGCTGATCATTCTCTCTTTTATCGTCATTTAGCTTCTGAATCTATTTACCTGGTGGTATATGTGGATGATATTGTCATCACAGGTAGTGATAGGCCTGGGATCACTCAGTTGAAACAACATTTATGTCATCATTTTCAGACTAAGGATCTTGGGAAACTTCGATACTTCTTGAGAATCGAGGTGGCCAAAGTTGGCGTTGTGACATCTCAGAGGAAATATGCTCTGGATATTCTTGAAAAAACTGCTTTGTTAAATTCAAAGTTTGTTGATACTCCTATGGATCCAAGCAGGGGGAGCCCTTTCCAGATCCTGAGCAGTATAGAAGATTAGTTGGAAAATTGAACAACCTTACAGTCACTCGGCCTGATATTTCATTTGCAATTAGTGTTGTCAGTCAATTTCTTAATTCTCCATGTCAAGAACATTGGAATGCAGTCATTCGTATTCTTAAGTATATCAAGGCATCTCCAGAAAAAAGCCTTGAATATGAAGATAAAGGTCATGATAAAGTTGTTGGGTACTGTGATGCTGATTGGGCTGGTTGTCCAGCTGATAGGAGATCTACTTTTGGGTATTGTGTTTTTGTTGGAGGCAACTTGATTTCCTGGAAAAGTAAGAAACAAAATGTAGTTGTCAGATGAAGTGCTGAAGCAGAATACCGCTTCATGGCAACTACTTCTTGCGAGCTCATCTGGCTTAAACAGCTTCTCAGAGAGCTTAATTTTGGAGACACTGGACAGACAACTCTCACTTGTGATAATCAAGCGGGTCTGCACATTTCATCGAATCTAGTGTTGAAAGAACCAAGCATATAGAAATAGATTGTCACTTTGTTCGAGAAAAGATTCTTGCTGGTGAAATTAAAACTAGTTTTGTACCCTCTAATGAGCAATTAGCAGATATATTTACAAAATCTTTGAGGGGTCCTCGAATAGAGTTTATATGTAACAAACTTGGTGCATATGACCTAAACGCTTCAGCTTGAGGGGGAGTATTAGAAATATATCTTTTGTATATTTGTAATTAGTATTTTAGAATATATCTTTTGTATATCTGTAATTAGTATTTTCCTTATTTCATTAGAGTTTGTATTAGGTATGGGCTTAGCCCATTAGTATGTCTATATATTGTACATCCTTTATCAGTTCAATACATACAATTTATTTCAATGTTCCTCTCTTTTCTTATTATTTAATACTGCCCCTTCAAAAATCTCAATTTTGTCTTGCCATTTTTTTAATTTTTATATTTTTGCTTTGGTGCCTCACCTTGTCGATATCTAATTCTCAAACAAAACAATACCAATAACAAAAGATTTAGAATGTCACATCTGAATGAAATAAAAGTATAAAACAAATCTTAAGTTTTTATTTCTAAGATAATGAAACCAGAATTTTGACTATGGTATATCAAGACCAGCAAAATCTAAAGTATTTCTACACCACAAAATAATGTACAGATTATATTTCTCTGCTCAGATAACCACTTTTTTCTGAACTAAACAATGAAAAGAAGAAAAGGGGAAATCCAAATGAACCATAATTCTTCAACCGCAATCTTCTTTTCATGTTCTCATTTATTTTCAATCAAACTCCATGCAAGATATTCCAAGACTTAGCAGATGACACAGCCATTAGGATCCTCTTCAACAGTTCTGTAATAGTAATATGGATATGGCTGTCTCATCTGATTATTATAAGCTTCATAGGCCTTCACAAGATCAGCCAATTCTTCCTTTGGATCTTTTTTCTTTTCCTCTGGCTTCTTCTTAGGTTCCTCCTTCTTCTCCTCTTTGGCTGGTCCAACTGAAAGTATTTCAGCATGACACAGTTTCCTCAATTTTCCCACCACATGAACTGGATCTATGTCTCCAATTAAAGTCATTTTATGGTCCTTCATGTCCACTGAGACTGACTCAACACCTGAAAAAATCACCCCAAATCATTCAATATTTGATAACATATACTCTTTCCCTTTCCCCCCCCTTGATTTCCTAAGCATCAAAAATCATATAATTTATAAAAGAAAGATAAGTAGATGCTGAAATTCCATACCTGAGAGGCCAGAAACTGCCTTCATGGCTTTTTTCTTCATTTTGTCATCATAGAGTTCCACCTTTAGAACTACTTTCTGTCACAAATAAAATCACATAGCTTTTAGAACCCAATAATTTTAATCATTTCTAAGCAAGAAATTTCCTAAACCAATGTCAACTTGAATATTAAAAGTTAAAAAAAGAAAATTAAAAACAAGCCCATGTTGTAATTTGGACACTAAAACTGGATCTCAAACTTTTGATTATCAAAGAGCACTAACAAAACAATAAGATAATCGCTGTGAAGTCAAGCATGGAAACAGAACAAAACTCATAAATTTTCAGAAATGGCTTGAATGAATTTATATATGGTTTAGAGAAAACTTGAAAGAGGGTAGAAATTGTTACCTTCATGTTGATTTGAAGATGGGTAAGGTTGCAAAGGAAAGCTAAAAGAAGGACCAAAAGGGTTATGAGAGAGTTTGAGAAGAGATGGTGCTGAATGAATTGTTGAACTATAACTCTGCCTTGAATATTTATACAAATGAAAGAAATGGTAAAATAGATAAAAGTCAATTGAAGTCAAGGCCAATTTAGAGTTGTAGTCTTTGCTACTTGAGTCACTTGGTGACTGGTCAGCATGATACAGCCGTGTAAAACCCGTTTTCTTAAACTCTTTCTTTTTTATAACTTTTTATATTCAAAAGATATTTTAATTTTAATAATTCCCCAACTTGGTCTATTAATTTATATATATTAATATATATATATATATATATATATATATATATATTAATTAAGAGACTGAATTATTTGACCTGATACCAAATATTAACAGCTGATTCATGTCGGTCTGATAGTTATAATTTATTAGGATTAATAATTAATTGATAATTGTGATCCAATAAATTATGACCTAATAAATTATGACCATTTACGAAAATCAAAGGTTAAGATTTGATGCCAAATTTTTTAATTTGACATTGATGTTAAAAAATCTTGCACATATATTAATATTTATACTGTAGACATTTTTTTTTTTTTTGTAAATATACTGTAGACTTATTTAAAAGATTTGATCTACTAATCTTTTAGAGTATTGAATTATTTAAAAAGTAAGCTTATTTATCTTAAGTTTTAATATAAAAAGGATCGATCATCAAATAGACTTTCACTTCAGATTAAGTCGTTAAGAAGATTGTTACCCAAAAAAAAAAAAAGTTGTTAAGAAGATTAGACAAAATGAAAAGAAAGAAAAGGAAATAAAAAAAACTTATAACGTCGAATAATTAGTCAAATTTAAATTTAAAATTACAAAATTAAACCAATCTATGTTTAAAAAGACTTAATCTAACCTAAACCATTTCCATTCTGGATATTTGAACTGCATACATTATCTTAGTGTTTTGGTATCGCTAAATGTTACAAAAATTATCACTAATGACTTCAAGAATGACGTGTCATAACAAATCGCAACTCCAGCTCTTAAAGTTAATGTATCATTATATACTAAATTAAAATATATTATTTTAAAAATAAAATTTATTTTTATTTTTCAAAAAATAACGCACGATATTGTTAATTTTTTTATTAATTTTAAATCTCAATTCCTATAAATTAATTATATATATTTGTAATTAATATTTTTAAAATTAATCTAAATTAATTAATTATATTTATAATTTAAAAATTAAAATAATTTTTAATATGTATTCTTTAAATTTTACCTAAATTTAAGAATACATATTTAAATTCTAGGATCAAGACTGTTCTTTTAACTTCCGCTTCAAAAAGAATTTGGCACATCAACCAAAACGATGTCGTCTCCGAGCATTTGCTTCCACATTTTAGAATTGATTCATCTATGCTATTAAAATTGGCCCAACCCGATCGGTCGAATTGATTGAATCGAGGACTGGATCATTATTCGATCTAGTTTAGTTAGTTAACAAGAGCTACGTATGTTACTCGGTCAAGAATTGATGGATCGGTCAAATATAGAATTCAATCGATGCTAACTTACGGGTGCATGACAATCTTTTCAGAATTAATTTTTTTTTTAATTTGTTTTCAGGAACAGAAATAGATAGGAAATTCGTTTGGTAAAATCAGTTTATTTTTTTGTTCGCGGGATGAACCGGCTTAATTTTTGTGCTCTGGAACAGAAAAAAGAATAAAACAAATTCTGTTTTTTTTTGTTTCCGGGCACAAAATGAGAAATACTTATTTCTCACACTTACTCTTCACCATTATCATCATCATCCCGACATGACCACCGCCACCATCGTCACCACCGCCGTTGTACCACCAATGTCATCGTCACAACCACCACCACCACCACCACGATGCCTTCATCACCATCACCACCACCACCACCACCAACACGATGTCATCGCCACCACCTCCACCATGCCACCGTCATCACCACCATTACCACCACGACCACCATTACCACCATCATTGTCACAGCCACTGCCATCACCACCACCCCCATGCCCATCACCACTACCATCACCACATCATCGCCTCTGCCACCACGCCACCGTCACCAACCACCACCACCATCGCCAGCCATTGCCGTCACCACCACCACTATTTTACCACCATCATTGCTACAGCCACTGTCGTCAGCACCACCATCACCACCATTACCATCACCACGTCATCGCCACTGCCACACCGTCACCAACCACCACACCACCATCGTCGCAGTCACTGCCATCACCACCATGCCACCACTACCACGCCACCAACCGCCGTTGCCGCCGTCACTACCACCACGACCATCGCCACCATTACCACCACCATCGCCGCAGCCACTTCCGTCAGTACCACCTCTGTCGCCGCCACCATATGAAAAGGAAAGTGATGATCCAAAAAAAATTATGCTTGATAGGAATTATTTTTTATTATATTATTTGTTGTGTTATCAAACGCAATTCACATTTTCAGAATAAAAATATAACATGTTATCAAACACATTTTTTTTCTCAGAAACTCTTCCAAGGCACAGAAATAGAAAAGAATTGTTTCTTTTCAGAAACAATGCCAGGAAACAAAATGGTTGTCATGCACACCCTTAGTACCAATTTTTAGGTGAATCGATTTTTGAAAATTGTGACAAAATATTTCACTAAGAAAAGGGGAGTGAAATGATTAAGAGAAGGGGGGGGGAGTGAAATGCAAATCACTAAATCAAATTACTTTAATTATCATATTAGTTCTATTTATATACTTATTATATATCATTACTTAAGTTTAATTTAAATGGTTGAACCAATGATCTATTAATTAAATCAGCAACTCATTAACACAGTATTTCCATCGAGTCGACGGTATATCCGAATTTAATAAGCCATGTGTATAACATAAGTCCAATTTTTTTTTTACATATTGCATAAGTTCAATTTAAGTGTAGAAATGATTTGGCAGGGTTCCTCGAAGTTTTGTTAGTCACTTTGTTTTCATTTTCCAAAGTGAGTCAAACAAAGTACTGCACAATGAAAACCGCGTTATAGGCTTCGACCATTCCACGACACAAAACCGCGTTATAGGCTTCTTCCATGATGTGTCCTGACTCCTGAGCCCTTGACCTTATCAAAGTGGCCCTCACGTGCTTCTAGATCACTCTCAAACTATCAAGAGATTCAAGACTATAAGCTATCACAAATAATTGTCCAAAGGATGTGTTATTCAGTCAGTTTTTGTGTTTGTATCTTTAATAATAAATCATTGTAAGTACTACACAACGAAACTGATCTAGACCCTTGTCTTAAGTTTTTAAGTGGTACTCTCACTGAACGATAGGTGATCATATCACTCCATACACTATAGTGGTAAGGTTTCATTATTCGTATTTGTGTCGTTGCTCCTGCACAATCCAACAATTTGGTCATTTCTAATTAGTCTTCTGAAAATGGGATCTGATTGGTCGAACGGTCCGACCAATTAATCCAGAAATTCAAACATTTTTTCTTTTTTATTTTAACTTTTAAATGAGTGTTGCAGATCTCATCCCGCGACATTAATGTTTTTTTTTTTAGTGTTGGTGCAGAATTACATATTTAAGGTGCATTGAACACTAAGCCGGCATAGGTACATGTTGGTTATCATGCTTATATTATTATATTTGTTATATATCAAATGTAAATTTTGTTATATATATTAATATACAACAATTTGTAAAAATATATCTTAACAAATTAAAGAAACACAAATTATAATGAATTTTTTTAAAATATGAGTTTTTTTATTATCATTTAATTTATTTGCTTTGAAAACTAATTTATTTTAATCTAAAATATATAAATTTAATTTTATAAAATTATATAAAATATAAACTTAAACTCATCAAAATATAATAAATACAAAGTTAAATAAAATCATCAAAATGCATCAAATTATAAATTTATTGGAAAATATATTTATCATTTTAAATGACACGACTTTGTGTTATTTTTAATTAAACTATGTCATTTTGTTGTGTTTTTAGTATTTTTTACATTTTCTCTTTTCTATAAATTTAGGAAGAAAAAGAAAGTGAAGGAAAGAGAATGTAAAAACATATCAAAATGACGTAATTTCATTAAAAATGATATAAAGTTAAGTCATTTAAAATGACAAACACTTTTTCAAATTTTTGAATTTAAAAAATGTTTATAAAATATGAATTATTTTATATATAATACTTAAAATTTAAATTTTCTCTTCATTGTAATTTTTATTATTTTGATTTTATATTTTCTAGTTAAAAATTGAACCAAATTTATATGAAAGTACATAATAAGTACATCAGAATTGACAAACAATTTCGTTTTTATATAAATCTTGTTTAACTTTTAACTATAAAATATAAAATCAAAATAACATGTTTATGAATTTTATAAATTTAAATAAATTCCTGAATAATAATTATCTTTAAAATATATTTCGATAATTTTTTTTAAACTTTCTTTTATTATATTTTGATTAATTTGAACTTATATTTGATATATTTTTATAAAATTTAATTTATATAGTTTAGAATTTGTTTTGGTTAAAATATATTAATACAAGTTATTGCATATTAAATTTTACATTTAGTATATAATAAGGAAATATTGTTTCTCTTGCAACTGGAGATAAAATATTGTGAATAAAAATATTGTGTATTTTAGTAAAATATATAATACAAAAATAAAATAAATATTTTAAAATACCATGCATTTTTATCCTAAATTCCAAAACGTCGTCATTTTAGGATTACACTAAATAATTTTATCTTCTATTTTGGTAGAAACACTTTTCTCATATAATAAATATAACGAAAAAGTTCACCAACCCCCCTCTAATTTATTCTTTTATCATTTATATTCCAATGTTTTTTTTTAATCAATTACCCAATATGATTTTTTCCATCCAAATCCACCTTTAACACTGTTAGTAATTAAACTAACTTGTCCATTTTATCCTTAATTGTTTTTTGAAGTTTTGTTTATAAAAAATTAAATATGACCCAAAAAATAAAAATGGTGGCAAAGTCTACTTGATTATGACTAGAAAAACACTTTTCTCATATCAGAAATATAAGGGAAAAGTTGATAAATCCCTGTATGGTTTATTTTTTTATCTCTTACATTCTTGTACTTTTTTTTATCAATTATCCCTATATGATTTTTTCCATCCAAATCCACTTTAATTTGTGTTTGGAGTTTGGTTTATCAAAAATTAAATGTGACCCAAAAAATAAAAATAATGGCAAAGTCTACTCGATTACGACCAGAGAAATAACAGGCAATAGATAAGAGAACAATAATTGTTGGAAGGTGGGGCCTGGAAAAATTTAACATGAGGAAAATTTTAGCTAGATGTGACAAAATTTAACAAAGAGCATTGACCCAACATCAATATGCAAATTAAGATCTTTTTTATTCCTTTTTGTGATTTTTTTAGGGATGTTTTGTGTATTTTGTGAAACCTTTGAAAGGGACAAGTTACATGATTTTTTTTTTCATTTCTTTATAATGAACCTAAACTTCGTTTATATACTGCTCATGTCCAGCAAGTAAAATAAGGATAAAATGGATAAGCTCATTCAATTACTAAAAGTGTTAAATATAGACTTGAATAAAAAAATCAGAAGGGGTAACTCCCTAAATATAATAAGGGAGTTATTAATCTTATGTTACTTGAGATAGTTTTCTTATGTGTGTGAGATAAATACGTGGGGTCCACACTTTAAAACAAAAGAAAAAAATGGAAATAGTTGACACAAAATTCGATGAGTGTATAAAATAAGATAGTTATCTTCAACGAAATGAGATAAATATTTCTCATATAATAATAAGAGCTTAACAACTAACATGTAGGTCCGACTTAATAGTTGGTGTAATAAATTTCTATAAAGAAGTGATGGATTTAACATCCGCAAATGCACTCATTTAATAATTAAAAAAATAAAAATAAAATTATGTGGACAAGGATGCGAAACTCAATGCCTCCACGAAGGGTGCTAAACGAACCAGGGGCCTTTGAATCAGTTCGGGAAGGCCTGACCTTACATATCTAAAATTGGTTGTTGGCATCAGGCTTGAGGCTCCAATTCAAAAACTCGGCCTTAGAGCCTCTTAGGGAGGCCTAACATATATTTTTTTATTTTATATTTTTATACTACTTATAATAGTCTTGTCTTTCTCCTCAATCAATTTCATCGATTAAACAAGTTTTGTGAATGAATTTGTTCTATATTATGCTGTTTGGATATACACTGAATTTATGGATATTTAGGAAATTACTAGTGTTGTTGATTGTATATTCTGTTTGGATAAATTTTTGTTGTTTTTTTTTTTTTTAAACAGACTAAACCTGAATTTTATTTTTTGTAAATAAGTCAGGTTACATGCCGATAATTATATTTATAACAGGTAACAGTCTTGGTCAGGCTATCACAATTAAACACAAACTTAATCTTTTAACACCAAAACTCAGCCTGATCCCTTAACACCCTAGCTCTCATGATTTGTTAATACATAGAAAACTTAGGGTAATTGTAGTCTTATGTCACAGCAAATTTTTTTTATCTCATGCACACTTAACTTGAAGTGAGGCCCACCACAAAAGAGAAGAAAAAAAAAAAAAAAGAAATGGCACAAGTATCGATATATGGACATAAGATAAAAATAAAATCCTGTTGCATAAGATTAATATTGCCCGAAAACTTATGTCCGTAGGTATATTTTATCTTTTTACTATATCGAAATTCTTGTACGGGCACGCTCATCTACTATCTATACTTCAATACACGAGGAATAACCTACCAACAATCCTAATCTATCTTCAAAGAAGATAAGAATAGAGATAAAACAACCAAGATGGGTTGGTTTAAGTGATTTTCGCTTAAGTTAGGTATTGGATACTTTATCCAAAAAATAATTGAGATAACACACAAGTTCCACCGTATCAGATTTAACATAAAAATATCGCTTCTTCCTAAAAATTTCTTCCACTAAAAATATAGGGAAATCATTATCTCCTTTTACATGAGATAAGAACTTTTTCCTACACAAATTCGTTTTCCGTGCCAATTAATTTTTCTTTTATTTTTTAATTTAAAATGTGGGACCCGTATTTAACTTATCTCTACTTTTTTTCTCTCCTACTATCCTACAACATAAGAAAATATGCACCCAAAAATATATCAACTATCAGAGTGAAAATTTGAGGTGTAAGATTATATTGACAATTTTTTTTTTTTCGAACTTACAAATTACATTATGTCTGATCGATAATACTCTACTCAAGAGTATTTTATCGATTAGAAATAATGTAATTTATAAGAATTTATAGACAAAATAATTGATGAAAAATAATTGATAATACTGCGCAAATAATTGATGAAAAATTATTTTTTATATCTTTAAAACTGAACATGTCATCAAGTTTGTCCGTTTGTTTATGTCCACTTATATTACCAATCATAGCCGATTTGCAAAAAAGACAAGAAGTCAATTGTTTGTTTTCTTTTCATGCAATTTGTTTACATGAATCTATGTCATCATTTCATTTTCAATCATTATTAATTTTCATATGTCATGTTTTTCATGTTAATATATTTGTATCTCTTTTTTTAAGTATATTTATTTTGTTAATAGAGTATTAATTTGATTATTACGAGTGGATCATCTCATATTAAAATTTACATGATTTGAGAAATTTGTGTGTTTATCTTTTTCTTTATTAATGATAATTGGATCTCACTTACTTAATGCATTTAGAGAGAGATAGACACAAAATTTTATATGACTAGATCTTTATCTTTATTATTGATAATTGGACTTCACGTATTTAATCATTGTGAAGAGAGAGATAAAAATAAATACATGAACTAGCTGACACGACTTTATTCCAACTTAATTAATGATTTTAAGTTCGAGTTTTTGATATACAATTGTGTTAAAAAAAACTTGATAGAGATAATTTTATTGTCCTAATTGATTAAAAGATTAATCGATAATAGGTAGAGAAATTTAAAAAAAAAAATTATAATCTAAACTTAAGTTAGAAAAAAGGAAAAACTACTAGGTGGAGAAGAAGCAAAGTCTAGCAAGATGATACGGTACAGAATCAGAGCTCAAAGGAAAGTACTAGCTAGTTCAATTGAAAAAGTTTCTTTGCAGTTAGTTGCAAGAGCCTAGGATAGCCTTCGCCCATTCCTATCCCTAATTTAAGTGGAAGAAATTTTATATTTTATCTAAATTATAGATAAATAGATAAATATATTAGCGATGGTTCTAAATTTCTAATTATGGAAAGAAAAATGAACAACAGAAGATTCCTCACTCAAATCTTTGCATACATTTTGCTTAATGACAAAAAAGTCTGATCAAACATTTGACGCCCAATTCCTACACAACATATTACTTTCTTGGACACACTTTAGCTCTCGTTCTAGATCATGAAAAATAAAAACCAAACTAACCAAAAAAAGAAAAGAAAAGATAAAGACCACAATGTATTTTATCAAACAACCCGAAACCCCAAAATTATCTCCATACGAGAAACATTAATCCCAACTTTCTATATTATGAAATTTAGCATATGACACAACCATTGGGATTCTCTTCTACACTTCTAACATAGTAATTTTGACCATATTGTGGTGTTGTCATATGATGATAAAGCTCGAGAGGAACAGGTACATTTGTTGGGTCCTTTTCCTCTTTTGCAGGTCCTACTGAAACTATTTCTGTGTGACAACACTTTCTTAGCTTGGACACTGCACGTACAGGATCAATGTCCCCAGATAAAATCAATTTCTTGTCTTTCGTATCCACAGAAACTGATTCAACCCCTGCAAAATTATTACAAATACAATTTCACTTAGAAAAACATTGAATCCTTGATGCTATGTTTATGATATGGGATTTGTTTCTTGAAACAAAACTGACCTTATTAGTTAAAGATTTTTATTTTTTTATTTTTTGTGTTTGGTTGGTGGACTGCAATGTAATACTGGTTAGGAATTTAAGTGTAAATGGTGATTACATTTGTTAAGAATGGATTAAGGAATATTATATAAGTGGAAGAATCTATAAACTTAAATGTTTGAAGGTTTTGGGTTGTTTCGATTATGTGTTTGAGAATCATTTATTAATGATAGTATTTGAAAATTGTGGTTGGTGTTTGGGTTTTAACTTGCCTAAACCATAACAAAAACTGATTGAAATTCAATACCTGAAAGGCCAGATGCTGTCTTCATGGCTTTTTGCTTGATTCTATCATCATAGAAGTCCACCTTCAACACTACTTTCTGTTACGGAACAAATCAATTAAGAGCAGTTAAGACCCAACAATTACTTCAAAGTCTAAAAATATGAAAGGAAATAGTCAAATACAAGTCCTTATTTAAATTTGAACACTGAAATGTTAAAATAAAATACAACAATATTAGCTATGCATGGAAACAGAGTAAAGTTAGGAGGAAACTCAAGAAATGGATTTCACCACATGAGAGTCTAGTTCTGACCTTCATCATTATTATTGTTGTTGAATATTGAGAGGTAAGCAAGAATATATAGTTTGTAACAATTGCAAAGGAAGGCAAAGAGGTTTAAGTTGAGTTGGAATATCAGGAGATGGCTTTTCAACTACAAGTGAAGTGGTGATGAAATAATGCTTGTGATTGAGCAAGATTTATAATGGGAGGGGGTGAGACACAGTCAAGTCAACCCAAGTCAAGTCATAAAGTGTCATCAGTCTTCTTCAAAATTATAGTATAATTTGTTTGTTTTCACACGGCTGAAACCGTGTAAACTTTAATTTTGCATTATTATCTCCGGAAGAGAAGTTCCTTCTTAGAAAGAGAATCAATGTAATAATTGAAGGCTTTTCTTCTTTTTTAAAGTTTAAAAGTTTAAAGTATCGTTTGTTTGCTGAGAAAATAAGAGATTACACTAAGTTTGGTACAATAAATAATTGGTTTGACTTGGGATAAAATTATCTCTTGTAAATACATTAAAGTATATACATAAGGGTATATGTAGTACATTGAATCATAGGTCCCACATATTTTCATGCGTGTGTAATAGATAAAATTATTTCTATAATATGAGAAATATTAACCTTTAAATAATTTAAAAAACACTACAAATTTTTAAACTTTTGATATATTTTAAAATGGAGAAGGATCTGTTTACAAATTTTTTTTACAAACTACACTAAGTATGACCAGTTATACTTTCTGGATTGAAGTATGATCGGTCATACTTAGTGTAGTTTGTAAGAGTTTGTAAACAAAATATTTTTAAATATAACTTTCTCCTTCTAAGATAGGTTATAATATCTTGTGATATTACAATTTTTTTAAGGATTTATTGTTTTTTATGTAATAAAAGATAAATTTTTTTCTATATACGCATAAAAATGTGTGACTTGATCTTTTTATATGGATCCACATGAATTTAACACATTTTTATATATGTATAAAAAATATATTTAACTCCTATAACGTAAGAAACATTAGAATTTTTTTTAATTATGTTTCGGACGTCAAACAGTTAATAACATTAAAAAAATATTATCTAACTCAATCATTTGTGTTATACTATTTTGTAATTGCAACGTCTCTTCGCATGTGAAATGAATTTTCTCTTATCTCTTTTTGGCATCATCATATTATGTGAAAAATTTCAGTAAATTATTGATAGGTCAATGGCTAACAATTAAAATCTATTTCCTCTTCTCCGTTTTACTAGTTTTGTGATTGAAATTATTAATGAATGATTAAAATTCTTTACATGATATAATCTATGTTAGAAAAAGACACGAGAAAACTGTATCTAATAAAATATGAAACAATTTTCATTAATCACCCATGCACTGCTATATCTGTTATTTAGAAAGTCCAAGAAAAATTAACGACTAAGAGAGAAATTAAGGAAAAATTCTTATTATACTAATCCTAATATGGTAATAATGAATAAAAAATTGGACCTCAATATTTCTAAGAATCCCAGTCATAGCAAACACGTCACACACGTGAAGCAAGGCAAATTTCCAGCTCCCCAAAACCAAGAAACGCCTATCATAGATACTATGGCTCTCCCACCCATCGGATCTGCTCATCCTATGGTTATATTAGCCTCTCGGAGAATTCAATTGAAATTTTGAGTAATGGATGGGTTTTCTTATAAAATTGGCTGGTCCCACACGAGATAGAAAGAACACCCTCTCCTGTATGCATCCAAAGGAGATATCTGCTAAGCGGATTAGAGATGTAACGTCATTAAATTACATAATTAAACTGCATTGTTAAGTCACAATATAAATTCTTGTATTGAAATCTGGTTGCACAAAATAAAACAGTGTGAAACTTGATAAAATACATTGCTCGCTGAAATAGTAGTTTCACAGAAAACCTGCCTCTCTTGTGAAAAATCTTAAAAATCGAGCTTTCATAATTTTGGCCTTTTGACCATAGTACGAGTAACTTGTAAATTTGCTCTTGCATAAACACGCAGCTGACATTACCGCATTCAGGCTGCACAAGAATAACGAATCCAACAAGTTTTTTTAGGCTATTAGACACGCCCCTGCCAATGCCGTTTTTAAGTTTGACTATAAATCCAAACAACTGCCTTTATGGACTCGCACCTGCTCTATACGTGGTCAGGACCTAGGACAGAGATTCGGTAGTGAGAAACGCGGTTTTACTCCTTCCACCTCTAGAACACCACATGCAGCAATTTTTTATTTTGTGGAAGGTCCACATGCATCAATTTTAAAACCCCTTCCCTCCCTACCAATATCGCATTCTTGCTCTTCAAAAATCTCACAAGGTAATCTCCTAAAATCTCACACTCTGATTTCTCAAATTTCCACCTTTCCTTTCTCAAAGTGAACCTATTGCCACCCACCTTTTTCTTCTCCAAGTGAAAACTGTATTTCTTCTTTCAAGCAAGTTACGTTAGACATTTATTTTTTATTTCATTAAACTGTTGTTTATTTCATTAATTAGTTAGTGTAGTTGCCTTAAAATGTGTATGTTGATGTGAGTAATTTCTATTGTTAGTGAATTGAAAACATGAGTAATTTCTGTTGTTAGTTAAATAAAAAATATAATCATGTTGTTGGTTAAATAAAAAATCAAGTTGTTGGTTAAATAAAACATGAGCAAACCTACTGAAATTTGGTTCTGAGGCCTCACATCTTCCAAGGTGGAGTAGATGACTTCACGTGGGAATTTCATTTCTTTTGATTACATATTTGATATCAAAAATCAAGGGAAATATAATTGGAGGGCGACACCTAGCACTTGCCACATAACTAAAATTTTTCTTCCTTAAAGTCCTCTTTGGATTCAATTTCATTGTTAGAAATGTCATTGTCCTAACAACCAAACATCCTTGCTGAATTAGAAGGACATGAATTCTGAGAGAATTGAAGAGATGTGATCCTAGCTAAAGGATTACACATTAATCCGAGATAAAAATGAAGACGAATTCGGAGGGATCCAATTCGGAATAAATAGTAAATCCAAGATAAAGACGAAGATAGATGTAGAGACATCCAATCCAGGATAAATAGTAAATTTGAAATAAAGATGAAGACATATTCAGAGAAATCCAATCCGGGATAAATAGTATATCCAAGATAAAGACGAAGACTGATATGGAGAGATTCAATGTGGGATAAATAATAAATTCGAGATAAAGATGAAGACGGATTCAGAGAGATCCAATCCGGGATAAATAGTAAATCCATGATAAAAATAAAGACTAGTGTGAAGAGATCCAATCCACAATAAATAGTAAATCCGATATAAAGATGAAGACGGATTCAGAGAGATCCAATCCGAGATAAAAAAAATAAATCTGAGATAAAGACGAAAATAGATTGGGAGAGATCCAATCTGAGATAAAAAAATAAATCTGAGATAAAGACGAAAATAGATTGGGAGAGATCCAGTCCGGGATAAATAGTAAATCCAAGATAAAGATGAAGACTGATATGGAGAGATCCAATCTGAGATAAAGACGAAGACAGAACTAGAGAGATCCAATCTGAGATAAAAAGTAAATCCCAGATAAAGTCGAAGACTGATGTGGAGAGATCCAATCCGGAATAAAAAGTAAATATGAGATAAAGTCAAAATCAGATTCTGAGAGATCCAATCCGAGATCCGAGATAAAGACGAAGACGAATTTGAAGAAATCCAATCCGGGATAAATAGTAAATCCGAGATAAAGGCGGAGACGGATGTGGAGAGATCTAATCAAGGATAAATAGTAAATTTGAGATAAATATGAAGACGGATTCAGAGAGATCCAATCCGAGATAAAGACGAAAAAGGATTCAAAGAGATCCAATCCGAGATCCGAGGTAAATACGAAGACATATTTAGAGAGATCTAATCCGACATAAAGACGAAAATGGATTGAGAGAGATCCAATCCGAGATCCGAGGTAAAGACGAAGACAGATTCAGAGATATCCAATTTGAGATAAATAGTAAATCCGAGATAAAGATGAAGATGGATTCGGAGAGATCAAATCCTAGATAAATAGTAAATATGAGATAATGATGAAGACAAATGTGGAGAGATCCAATCCGAGATAAAGATGAAGACAGATTCAGAGAGATCCAATCTAAGATAAAAGATGAAGATGGATGTTGTAACATCTGACAACTTGCAAGGATCAACGACTGTCCCCACACACTAACACAAGACTTTTTAGCATATTTCGTCCTCACTCGCACACTTCCCGGGAAAACTTTCCTGGAGGTCACCCATCCTAGAATTACCCAAAGTCAAGCATGCTTAACTATGGAGTTCTTCCGTTCCGGGCTACCGAAAAGTAGATGCATCTTGTTAGTACAGGTAGTACCAATTAATTCTTATAAGTTATTCCCAACTGTACCGTCCCATACCAGTACAGTCTCTGGAATCCCTCTCTTTCGGTTGTTGATTCGATTCATTCATGTACCCGTCGCTGGAAGCCTGCCAGGAGTCGCTCCTTGTCCATTCCCTTTCGCACCGGCGATCACTCCCAGCCCTCGTCAGCGCCCGGGACATTACACCCGAGACCAATATAGTCATGTATACGAAGCCAGGCTAAAATAAAATGAAGGAACATATAAACACCTTCATAGATATAACTCCGCATATAAGCCGAGTTCAATAAATAAAGCTACGGTATGAATAACTGAGCAGATATAATCACAGAATCCTGCATAATAAGACCTTGGCCAGGTCAGAATAGAAGCCATGAAATGAGAATACGGGCTAATTATTGCAACTGAGAAAATGGGCTTTGCGATATTAAAACTTAGGCGAATGAAGTCGGGCTTAGATAAAAATCACCGCGAACGAGGCGAGCCTCAAAGTAAAAAAGCCACTACGAAAGAAGTGAGGCTTAGATCAAGCTAGGTTCAGGGAAAATGGAAGGATGCTCCCGCAATCCAAAATGACTTTAACCAAGTAGATACATGTAATCTACGGTAAACCAAACCCAACTAAAATTTAAAGGGCTGATTGAAGCGACTCTAATCAAGTCATCATGACGCCTTAGAAATTGAAACTCTTGCAAAAAGCCGAGTAAATACTATGAAACGACAATATATGAAACCGAGTTAAGATAAAAAGCGAAGCTCG